TGTAAATCTCATTATTATGCGGATGATACGTAATTTATTATTCTTTCAGTCATAATAATATAGAAGAAGCTTGTACTCTTATCAATGAGGATCTGAATAAGTTATCAGTTGCATCAAAAAAGCATTGTTTAATCATCAATCCTGCAAAATCCAAACTGTTGATATTTGGGAACAAAAACCGTCGAGTTCAACTACAAGAACGAATAAACATTACAATTGACTCGGAAGCACTTAAAATCGTTGATTCTGCAAAAAATTTGGGTTTACTAATGGACTCCGGGCTGAGATTCAGTGATCATGTAACAAAAACTATAAGAACGGCCTACTGCAATCTAAAACTAATTTATAACATTTCAAGAGTTCTTGACTTAAAGACGAAACAGGTCCTATGCGATACGCTAGTCCTGAGCCATTTCAATTTTGCTGACATAGTGTATATTCGTGCCTTACTAATCATGATAAAAACAGAATTCAAGTTGTATACAGAATGCTTGTGCCCGACTGATTTACGGTGTAAGGAAACGAAATTCCATTTCTCATAAAATAAAAGAATCCAGATGGTTGACGATGAAACAAAGATGGATTTTACATTTGTGTTGTTTTACTCATAATTTAATTCAATATCAATCCCCAGTATATTTATATGAAAAACTTGAGTTCAGGCAAGATATTCACACAATCAACTCCAGATATAGGTATCACCTTAACCGTCCTAAGCACCATACGTCACTATACCAACGATCATTCTCATACAATGCATCCAAAATTTATAACGCCATCCCTGACTCCCTGAAAATGATGAATAAATGCAAATTCAGAACTACACTAAGAAAAAATGTTGTTTGAGGGTAGGTTTGATATAGTATGATTTCCAATGTATATAGGTACCAAATGGAGGTTTGAACATGTTATCCATAAAACTGATCGCCTCTAGTTCCCTACAATATCATCATCGATATGATCATATTATATGTATTCCAATTAAACTCTTTGTTGCCACTTTTATTTCCATTTTATTATCTTCTTCTTTCTCTCTTTTTGTCTAGTTGAACCAAGTCAATATATTTGTTAAAAATATGTATCTTTATAACCTATGTAGTCAATTCCACGAACTTAGAACTTCAGTATTCACTTGATAATTATGAATAAATAGCATTTAATTTCTGTATCTCAAATATGATTTTGTATATTCACTAGTACGAACTCATTATCAATTTATTTTCAATAAATCAGGATTATTTATGTAGAACTTAGGAACATACCATGATGTTATGAGTTGAATGGAAGATCAGTCACTATTATCTTCGGATAGGAGTGACTGAATTCCGCCCTCACATATTGTCTGATAAATTGTGTACCATCGAGGTTTTGATTATTTTGTGATTTGGGCAATATGGATAAAGACATATTATTATTATTATTATTATTATTATTAAAGACATGACCATTTTATATAAAATGCTATAAATCATTCACAGAATTGCTACGAAGAATGTGGTCAGAAAGGGAGTGAAAATATTAATTGTGATCAATAAACTTGTTATTTGGTTTCTGTTAATTTCCGGAAATCAAATCAATATTACAATTCTGACTTTGAGCGATTACTTACTGTCAATGAGTATTGAATATTATGACGATTTATCAATTACCTGAAATCATTTTCACAGCATACTCTCAAAAATCATTAGAGGATCGATAAAAACTCCTTTCCAGGTTAGATAGCCAGTAGTATTATGAGAAATACTGAAAATAAATACATTGAGTCGGGTATTTTCGGAAAGCTCTTCGAAAGGTCTATCTAATGGCGCGAAAATATATATAGGACGTTCCATTTGAAATTTCCACACTTTTTCTTGCTCCCTGTATATCCTCTGAGAATATAGGCTGTTTTTTTCCTACTGTCAAAAATAATAAAAATAGGAGGTGGTACTTGGTACTTTATAACGTGTCTCCCGGTACAATTGATCAGAACTAATTTCTATAGAACTTGCACTTGTTCATCATATATTATTATAACCATGTTCTTGTTAGTTCGAAGAAAAACAGAAATACACCAAGACGGTCGACCACAAAAATTACATTACGCAAAATATATTGTGACTAGTTTTGGCTCACACAACAATCTTCACACAGATTAGTACACTATACCTGTAGAAAGATTTCATTCACAGAGAAACAATAAGTTGTTGAGGAAAAACATATAAAGCCATGTGTAAATCAAATTGTGAAAAAAATTAGCCGTGGAGTCATTTGATCCAAAAATTCAGTCCGATAAAGGGATACTTGAATTGAATGGCTTCCATGACTTCAGTTAGTTGTAGTAAGCAACCTTCGGAACATAAAATCGTCCAACTAAATTTCCGAACCAAAATTCATGTTTGTATTCTTGTCAAGTGTGCCCGATTGGGAAAATTGATTCACTTCGACTTATTTGGTCTATATCACAAATTCAAAATACCTCTGAATAACTTTGTGACCTCTTCCAGAAGCCTTTTTCCTCCGAAAAAAGGTGTAAGATTACGCGGCAGTCAATCTAGTACTTTTCTACCTAGTAAAACAAATAACTATTATGCCTGTTAAGAATCATTGAAAACCAATTGGAGAAAATTAACTGACTTTCTACAACTATTGTGTTTATCGTCCATTGTTTACTTGATTTTTAATATTTCTAATAAAATCAGATGATTTGATCAATATACAAAGAACAACAAAATTTACTCTTTCGCCCTCGACATCTCAACGGCCAATGGCAAAAGTGAGTATATATAGTTATACTGGGCTTCATTAGGTTCTGGACTGGAATGTGATACTTTATAACACAATGATTTTTTATTCACATCAATATCTTTTCCCTAAGAGAAGATTCGAATCCCAGCAAACATTTTGATATGGGGCATCAAAGGCCTAATATATGTTTCCCATACCTGACATCAGCGGCCCAGTAAATGGTCCCATATGCGGGACTCTATATATCAGTACACTGCGGCCGGCAGCTGGTCCCAGTGCTGGGTACCCAGCAATCATATTCAGTTCCCCGGCAAAAGGCCAGTACAACATAAACGACACATTGAGTTTTCCATAGAAAGCCCAGCATATACTTAAATGATGGGACTGTAATGGCCAATCAACAACATTGGTTACATACTATCGAGGTAGGGGAGGGGTAAGGGTTCTAGTGGTCCAATGAATCTGAAAGTTCTAGTACCTCTTCATTTGATAATATAACCCTCTAATCAGGAATCAGACACATACCAGATTTCAAGAAAACAATTGTATGAATGACACAATGATATCTTCTTAACCACTCTGTTCTTCAACGATGGAGCTTCTCGGAGTAACTGCTTACTGGTTGGTATGTGGTATCTACATCTCATTGTGTAGCATCCCTTCTTCGTTGTGAGGTTCTTCTGATATATACAATAATGCATCATTATTTATATATTAGTGACCTATCAGTTGCATGAGTTTATAACTTGATAATATAGTCTGATGACGTGATAACATGGAACTTTTCAATTCTCAATATTATCTTGGCACAGGTAGCTGAAACCTCATTGTTATTTAGTTCTTCAATATAGAGACAGGTTCACATAACCTTCGATTGCGTTTGATAGCAAAAAACGAGTTAAAAATGATAGATGCTTTTGGAAAAGTATAGCCAACTCCAATTATAATGACCATTTGGTATATGAGATAACACATGCATTCAATAAAGGAATTCGAAACACTAAGTAGGTAGATTGATACTCACTCAATATTATCATAATTGAAGAATCCGTCTTCTATTATTATCAATTGAGAATACTCCTGCCATTATAAATAACCACCAGGGAAAGAGAGGACCACATTAATTCTACATAAACAAACTAGTACACGATCACCACTCACGAGAGTCAGCCATCTTAGTCACATATAATATTGATCAGCTGATTGTTGATGTAGACTTTCTCAGAACATCCATCAGGGGGACGAGTAGCGAACATGAAATTGACCAGCAAAGGGCCAGATCTCGTAAGTATTCAATTAGTTTCGGACATCCTACCATCACGAGGCCATCATCGTATTTTTAACTGATGGTTACTTGGCATAGGAAAATCCGAAAAATCATCGGCCCATTGCCATCAATACCCCGGCATCGTATTTTTCCCAGACTGGCCTGCACTAGGCCGGACTTCTCCCGCTAGTTCAATGTTTGCTGGGATGTTTCATGAAAGTATTAGATTTTTTCATTTTCACTAATAATCATTTAGAACCTATAGAACACTTTCTAATCGAATTTCTGAGGCACTTTCGCCTTCGTTCAGTTTTCAAAAGCTAACAATTCGTCTTTCGAGAAGAATTTGAGGCAATTCCCCAAGACTACTCGAGAAATTGGCCAACGACGGTTGAATCATGGCCACGAGGAGTATACTCGTTATTGACTATATCTAGAAAGTATGCTTTTTGTTCATACGGTTGAATCATGGCCACGAGGAGTATACTCGTTATTGACTATATCTAGAAAGTATGCTTTTTGTTCATTTTATGTAATCGGGTTTTATGTAGGGAAGTGCTTGTATCTTTTCTTAATGAGGAGATATTGACATGAGTCAAAAACCATAGTGTTAAGAAGGGATGACACTTCAATTCAAAACATTATGAAGCAGAGTTTTTTTCTCACTTTTACCACCAAACGTAAAACCTAAAATCTAAATTGTTTCTAGTATTTTCGTATTATGAAATACTCAGGAGGTATGTTCTGAATGAAACAGAGGCAAATTGTGAGAACTCTTGATCAGTTAGGACTCCATCATAACATACCTACATGTGTACATGATGTAATCGGTACTAAAATAAGCGAAAATAATCTGATGTACAATGTACAGAATATGGTCGCCATCCACCGTGAATCACCCTGTACAGCAGCATATTATACTGATAAGGCTATTGTAATGCGAGTGATGAAAAGCAACCTCATTTATCTGCTGATGATTATCTTATAAAAATAAATATTTTTCAAGAGTGAAATAATTCGGAGCTGGCCTGGATTCACAGCCGAAGAACATTATCTTACTACTGAAGATGGGTATAAAGTATTGGTGGAGAGGTCCTATTCCAAAATCACACAAAAAACACCGATAATCATAGTACATGGTATTGCTATGAGTGCTCTTGGATGGGTGAACAGAGGAAATGTATCAATAGGTGAGTGTGAACGAAGGTAAATGCACTGGTTCTCGACTAGTTAACCGAAATGTTAACTTTGAGAGTGGTTGATTTCGTGTAATAGGTCATAACATTGTATTAGAGTTGGTGAGTTAGTGTTTACCGATTCCTTGATAACTTTTAAGTGATTTGTGATTATTTTTCAAGCGATTTTTGCATTCAATTTTCGATATCTTGAAAGGAAGAAATCGACAAATCCACGGGTTCTTGACCACCCCGCAGAGTTCTCGTAGTTTGTTGTTGATTCTCGACCATCGTCCATTAGATTGATTCACAAGGAAATTGAATGATTGATGAACACTTGACATGTAAAGATTATATATATACTCATGCAGGCTCCTAAATACTAAAGAACTGAAAAATCCTTATTTCCAAATATATGAACCTGAATGGCCATTGTACCTGTCATTGTTTTCGATTCCTAAAAGAGATAGACAAATTTGCGTTTGCGTTTGAAGAGAGATACGCTGTACATTTATGATAATGGTACAGGTATTTGTGACGTACGCGAATTAAGAAAAAAAGGCCTTTATGTATTCTGGATGTTCAGCCTCTGAATGTGATCTAGTATGCCTTGGTTTTCAGAAGAAAAACAACGCCGCTTAGCCACAAAATACAAGTAGTCTCCTTATCTACATTTGAAAAAATCGTGAAAATCGTTAAATGGATAAATATTTTTTGAGGGTGGGTCGCTTTCCAATGGGTCACTCTGTATATTGCCTGATTTTTAACGCGTTGTGATTGAATGTCAATTAGAATCAAATCCAACTAGAAACAACTTCAACTAAAAACATAACGACCACTTCATTATATTCCCAAGTAGGTGTCTCTATAGGCCAAAAATTCGTTAATAAAACGGAACAGCCCACTAAGCATAGTTGAAATATATTTTGAAGCGATGTTGCAGCAATGTTCAGCATTACCGCAAAGGTGAAGTTCGATAATGGAGCGTTGCAGCAATACCACATGTTGCTGTGACATTGCTGAAACGTTACATTCACAAATTTACATTTGCAATATTGCTGAACGTCCGTTTCAGTAATTGCTACAACCTTGCATCAACATAGCTTCCCAAATTGCGTAGTGGGAGGATATCGGGCCAACCCTGTAACTTCTGCATTCGCGAACAGATTTTTCTGAAATATGGTACAGGTATGTGAACAACTCTTCCGGATATTATGACATTACAGTCTAATATGGCGGACTTCCGGTTTGTCTGAAAATGCCAGCAACTTTCTTGTTTCAAATGGAACACCCTGTATATTTTTCAATATCCAAGTTTAACAGGTCAAAATGAGTGTAATATTTATGACAAGACTCAAAGATGTTGTTTTCCACAGCTTACTTGAAAAATTCATCGAACTGCATGGAAATGCATGAAACTATATAGTTTTTGATTTGTTATTGCATCGAAATACGAAAATTAAATGTAATATTTGAGAAAAAGGAACTTTTGATAAAAATGTGATGTGACTGAAATGATTCATCTGTCTGTAGGTTAATCTCATTCATTCACGAGGTGAAAAAAACGATTGTAAGTCTTTGTTTTTTCGAAAAAATTACATTTGGTAAGATTGTACCTATACAAAGTGTTCATTTGAAAAAACAGAGTTGTTGGTATTTCCAAAAAAAAAAAAACCGAAAACCACCATATTGGATTGTAATATGTGATCAAATCTGAAATGGTTGCTTATTTAACTTTACCAAATTTCACAAAAATCAGTTATAAAATGCAGAAGTTACAGGAATGGCCCCCTGATATAAGTTATCAAGATTAGCTCGAAGAGACGAGTATTATTCACATTTTGTATTTTTAGCTCGTTTACTAGGTGAATTAGGTTATGACGTATGGATGCTCAACTATAGGGGCACATGGTACAGCAAAGGTCACGTGAACTTAACGACCAATAACCCAGAGTATTGGAAATATAAGTGAGTATTTAGTGCATCCAATGTACTGTATTTGTTTCATATAGGTCATGTTCCGATATTGCTGACATTACTGGCCACAGTAAGCAATTTAGGAACACTAAACAGTAGCAGTAGCTTTGAATTTTCATTTCATTTCGGAACGAGTTCGGCATTACGGGCATACTGGCAGCAAAACATAACCAATATAACCATAGCCTGTATGATCTTTTGATTGACTGTACCGAGTCACGTTGAAACTCATGTAGCCAGCTCTATAATGTTGGGATAATAGTTCACTTTTTGAATATTATCAAAATTGACAATGACATGCTCTTTCCATTAGTTATTCGGAATCCCTCTTTGATGAACTTATAAATTCTCTGCAATTTCTTATCAACGTCATATTTGTCTCTCAATTCGGTTCTGGTAATTCGTTCTCAAGTGACCATTGAATTCGTTTCACAAAGGGACGTATAGTTGCCGTCAACAGTATAAGATAATGAAAAAATTGTAAGAAAAACGCATAGTTCACATGATAATTCTGTCTAGGATACTCGATCATTACATTCACCTGGTGGGTGACGCCAAACTCACTCACTCTTTGACATCATTGGAACACCGTAGAAAGGTCGGCGACCTTCCACTTTTCTATCGATACTTCCACGGAAAATAATCTTCGGAAATCTCTGCTATCATCCCTTCACTAGCAATACCAGTCAGACGATCTAGACAAGCCCAGTCAGCACATCCTTTCAATGTCAACCTCGAAAGATGTCGAACAGCACTTCATCAAAACTCCTTCATCCATAGAACGGCTAGGCTCTGGAATTCATTGCCTGAGGAAGTATTCCCAACAACATATCGTGGGCGTACAAGCAGAACCCTGTAAGTCCACTTTTTTCGGAAATGAGGAATTTATCACACATAAGTCCATATTAGCGTAACGCTCCAGGCAAATAAACATTCAAGTCCATTTTGCGTTTGTTTCCGGAGATATAGTCAATGAAAATCCACTTAAGTCAATTTCGTTATAATTTTACAGGTTGATTCGAATATTCAATTGCGTTTTTCTCCTTATATTATTTTCTGGACTTACATGATTCTGCTTGTACGCCCACGATATAATCTCCAGAAGTTCAGAAAAATTCCGATACCTCTACCTCCTGTCCCTATCCTCCCTAGGAACGCACGATGTTCTTTGAACATTATAGGGATTCATACTACTCTCTTCTGGATCGAGATTACATTCATGCCAAAACATTTTGATGCTTTATGAAAAATCATGTATTCTCGGTATTATGAGGCATAAAGAGACGATCCAAGGTTATAATTGCTGGCAGAACAGTTTATGGTGCTAACTTGTTATCCCTATTTTGCAATAATGATTAGTATTACCCATTATTGTTATCATTGTTAGTACCTACTTATATTATTGTTATTATTAAGCTTATTGAATTTTTTTGTGAGTAATAAATAGGTTAATTATTATTCATCATTACTTTACGGATATGATAAAACCACCACATGCTTATTATCTCAGGATACAATTATTGTTTCGTTTCAAGGCACAATTTTTCACTTTAATCAGGCCAATCAGGAAACTACTATGAATCTTCGAATCATACATTTTTCGACAACGAAGAATACATTCGTTATACAGTGCTTTTCTTTAATGTCCCCCCCCCCCCGCTTTATCTTTTTTTGGCGGGTCAAGGAAAAAATTGAAACTTGGGGTAATTAAATTGATTCATGAATACCATATTTTGGAGTAAAATTGACAGATGAAAATTTCAAGATGGCGACTGGGCGCTATCTGGGAAAAAAATGGAAAGGGAGTTCTTGTGATCCATCTTTTTGAATTTCCTGACGAATATTTCACAACCCTGGAATATAAAGTCAATATCTCGTCTTTAGGTTTATTCTCAATTCAGAATTTATTTACGTCCTGTAGGATAAATATCAATTTATCATACATCAAAATAAAAAAATTGATAGTTGCCTGAATACAAACACAATTGAGTCAGACACATTCGGGTAATACTTTCCCTGCTCGTTGGATTGGCCGTCGAGGTCCTATATACGGAATGGCCAGCCCGCTTGCCAGATTTGACACCTTTAGACCTTTTTTATAGGTCTATTTGAAGCAAAATCTGTACGAAACTGCATCTGCTTCAATATTGGATATACGACAGAAAATGATAAATATTTGTAGAAATATCGACGTAACTGTGTTCGAAAGACGTGTTCGGGTTGACATATCGAATAATATGCTGTTCTTATGTCAAGAAGTCCAAGGCAACCATTTTGAGCATCTTCTGAACTGAACTCAGCTTATTTCCTCAAATTATGTAGTGAACGTCGATGTATTCAGGCCATGGACGTATAAACATGATTCAGGCAAATATCAAATGATCTGCCATTGTGTAGTACCTAGGTGAAGATACCGACTTTATATGCAAGGGTTGTGAAGTATCCATTTGATTTTTCTTCTTCAGATGGCGTCCAGTCGCAGTCGCAATCTTGAAATTTTCATTTGTCAATTTTACTCCAAAATATAGTATTTATGCATCAATTACATCACCACAAGTTTGACTTTTTTTCGTTGACTTGTTCAAAAATAAAGGGGGTGGGGGCATTGAAGAAAAGCACTGTATAATAATCCTTAATAGCACACAACGTCCTAGGGACGTCCCTATTTGGTACAATTCAAGTCCGAATGTCCCGGACCAAAAATAAGTGTCCTTGGGACGTCCCATGCCGTACATCTCATGCAATGTCCGAGCAAGGACGTCCACGGAATGTCCCAGCTGGTACATTATTTCAAATGTCCTAGAAAAAGCATCCCTCTTAGAAGTCCCATATTGTAGAATGTCCATGCAAGGACGTCCTTGACATGTCCCTGATGAGATATGATTTTAAACGTTCCTTTAGGGACATCCATCGGATGTCCCGAGTAGTACATATTCTGACATGACTTCAGATCTTATATAATGTCCCTTCTAGACAACCATGAAATGTCCCTGATGGTACATTCCTTAAAATATCTCTGCCCAGACGCCCCTCAATATTTCCAGGATGGTATAACAATCGAAATGTCCCTTAGGGACATCATTCGAATGTCCCTGAGGGATATCCGTCGGATGTCCCAATTGGTACATGAACTGTACTTTCCCAATGTCCTAGAAATAACGTCCTACGGACGCCCCAGTCGGTACTTTCAATATGTTGTCCCTGCGAGGACGTTAACTTACACCTCGCCGACGAATGATTGCTCGTTGGCTATGAATACTCCCCATCAATGCCTTCACGTAGGTTCATTGGACATCCTTGGGAAACTTTTTCAGGATCTATTGGGGACCTTCTACGGACCATCAACTCAACTGGATGTCCTCATCAGTTATGCAAGATCTGGTCCTAGAGGGACCCAGAAAAATTCAAATTCAAGAATAATTCGTACGTCCCTGGGACATCCTATGGACATTCTATTGATATCCCCCAGCGTTGCTGATAGGTTTTCCTACGGATGTCCTAAGGATGTCCTCCGTAGTGCTTGATGAGGAAAACTGTAGGATTTAGGTATTCGATAGTTGTCCCAGGGACATCCCCCAAGGACGTCCCTAGTTGGTCCTCAAGTGGAACATTTGTGCGTCCCACAGACGTCCAATGGACGTCCACGGTACCAAATTCGAACGACCTATATGGACGTCCTGAATGTCCCGACAGGACGTCCTAAAGATATCCATGGGACATAATTGTGTTATTAGGGATATGATATAAATAGAAGAATTGTTACATTCTAAAACACCTTCAAAATGTTTATGCGTGCTTCAAGCAAGCAAGGAATCGATATGAAAAAATCACGGTCATAATATATGTATTCTCTGTATAATTTCTAGTGTAAACGACTTGGGTAATTATGATGTGCGGTCAACAGTCCGAATGGTGTATGAGCAAACTAATCGCAAGGCTATCTACATTGGATATTCCATGGGTACGACAGGATTCTTCATTTACTCCTCAACTTTCCCAAATGAAGCGAAAAAATATACTAAAGGAATGATCGGCCTTGCTCCAGCTATCAATTTTCGTGGTACCAAATCAGTGATCAGATATACTTCTCCTGTGTGGCCAATTCTCAAAGTAAGCATTTGATATTATGAAATCAATAAAAATGACTTGAAACAATGACATATTTGATTGGCAACGATTTGATTAATGTTAATCTGTTATGATTTGAACATCTTCAGAGGGTTATTTATTCACTATGGAATGGTGAAATACTACCTGGATTCTCAGTCCTCCTCAAACCGTTACTGGCGTCTTCAGCTGGAATTTATACAATCCAGAGTGTGGTGAATCTGATATTTGGAGATGATTATGCCCAAATGGATCCTGTGAGTATCTCCATTCACTATAGTGAACACAAGACTCATGGTATACCCTACTTTTCTCCTTTAGTTTTCTATAGCTATATTTCTGAAATTTGGACCATCCAATATGCTTACTAGAATACACTATCTAACAGTTTTTTCAGCTCCCGGTGTTCCTGGGAATTACATCAACTTTCGATTATCAAATTTAACACCTGTATTTCATTCCATAATCGGTTAGGGATTATTATAACGAATTCTACGATACCATGTTTGATTGGGTTATTTCAAACGATTACGAAGATATCACTAACAACACAAGTGAATCCTAGGGCCTTTCTTCCCAGGGACGTCCCTAATTCTATACTAGGCCATCCCAGGGATATCCTGTGTCGAGACAAAGTACATACTAGGGCCGTCCCAGGGGCATCAACTTTCAGACAAAAAGGACATCCAAGGGATGTCCTTCTGGTACGTCCCTGGGATGTACCAAGTACGGAGGGAGGCTATCCCTAGGACGTCCCAAGGATATTCCAGGGACATCCTTCGACAAAAGAAAAGAAAAATGTAAGTCGAGTAGGGATTGAACCCAGGACCTTCAGCTCATCAGACACGCACCTTACTCTATTGGCTAATATGCCTTCTGAAGATTTATGTACTAAACAGATTTATAAACAGTACGAAACTGAATCCTGAATAAATACAACTTTCTTAGGATTTCATGTATAATTATTATCATTCTTGGGTGTTTAAAAATGAGGGGCATTATGCATTCACAATTTCAGTTTGCGAAAAATGGTCATCTCTTAAGAAGTTCTGAGACTATGTTCTTTATTTTCATTACAATTATTTTCCGGAAGAAAAACAAACATTTTCAAAAAAAAATTCAATTCAATATTTTGATGAAATTCAATGACTCTGATGTGAATGGATATCAGATATTACAGGGACACGAATATGATAACATAGGGATGTACCGGGCCGGATGTCCACTGGACAATCACTGCGGGACAACTCCTGGATGCCCCAATCATGTCCTTGTACCGCGGGACAAAAAAGGTACGTTCCTAGGACATTCCTGTGTTGTTAGGCATTCGCGTTCGAAGTTTCCATAAGCTCAATGGGTGTGACGGCGCCATATCGACCCTTCTTCCTCTGTCACGCTCGTTGAACTTTCGGAATCTTCGAATGCCAATATCTTCGTAATTGTTCAAAATAACTCAATCAAACACGATATTGTTGATTTCTTTATAATAATCCCTAACCGATTATAAAATTAAATACCTGGTGGTGTTCCATTTGAAAATAGAAAGTTGATGTCATTTCCAGGAACACCAGAAGATGAAGATGATGTCCTCAAATGTGAGAAAGTTGCCTCTAGTCAGCAAATTTCAGAAATATAGCTAGAAAAACAAGGTAGAAAAGGGGGATATACCATGGGAGATGAATATTCACAATTATTATTGTCGTTCAATATTGTTTTACAATTATCGGTGACACAGCATTATACAGCGCGCGCGTAAAGTTGCTTCTAAGACATTTTCAAGTATTTCTGGAGTAATTACCTAATACCACAGTATCTGATAGTATTGAATGCTTCGATTACACTGTCTCTCAGTTCTATTTCGTTATCAAAATTATTTGCGTGAACAAAGTTCTTAAAGTCTCCAAAAAAAAATCCAGTGGTGTCCAATCAGGTGATTGCGCCTATCAAGGGACTGTGAAATAATAATCAAGGTAATTCGTGTAAGAATCGATTAACATAAAACAATTTGAAGCGCTGCATTGAATAATTCATGCAAAATATTATTTTTCACTCTTCAGTATCAAATACTCACTCCATCCATATTTGACACTGAATGATCAGAAATAAGTATAGAATTGATGCTATTTCTTCTTTGGGTTTTCGAGAGAACATTGATGATGGCTAAAACGAGGTCGAAACAGATTCGAACCACCTTGAATAACACACGGTTCAGAATGAAAAAAGCTATCAGAATTTGTGAACACATAATCAGAACCGTATTTAAAAAATGTTGATGATGATTCTACTAATTCTAAGCGTCGCGAAGATAAATCAAATCATCACGTTAAATCTCATCAGAAGTTGCAATGGAGAAGTATTTTCACTTCTTCTGTACTTATCTCTAATAATAACGTAAAAAAATCAGAAGAATTCTCCACACATTCACTTTTTTCTATATAACTGAAGATTATCTTCTGTAGTCTATGACTGAATGACACTTTTGATAATTACTGTCTGTAGGTTAATCGAGGAGGTGGTATACATTCATTATTCCTGATTTCTTGGAATTTTCTCTCCTCGTTTCTATAAAATGAAATAAAAAGAATTTTCCTTTCAGAGAGCCTGAAGGAAAAATGCACTAGCTTGTCAGTGACAATTGGTTTTGAAAAAGGTTTGGAGAAGAGAAATAAAGGTATATAGAAGAAATATCAAATTTTCACTCAGCTTTGGACTTTTCGGGAACGAATCTGCCCCCGATTTCAATATGAGAAATGGATATTTGAATAGCAAATTCGTATTTGTCTTGACACTTTTCAATTCTCAGTGACAATTGGTGACTTTGGCGCTTTACAGGATATTTTCATCAAATAATCTTGAATTTTCCATTTTTTTTTCAGATTTCAGTAGTGAATACCATGTTCTATCTATATCAATTGAAGAATAGAAAGCAATGCTATTGTCTGCGTTCAGAAGAATGCAAGCAGATTCCTTGATTTTTATCTTCTGGTTGTTATCTTCTTTTCCAATGATTTTAATATTATTCCATTCTGCCATTCAATGTCCATCTTCTTGCTGTGCAACCTCATCTTCCAATGTATAAAGGGTGATTCAAAATTTGATTCAAATATCTCAAGTTCATATTGTTGGAGTCTAAATAGGACTTTTTCTTTATACACACATGTGTCCTGAAATGCAACCCCTCCAAGCTACAGCCACTGTCAGTTAGCTAAAAAAAAAGAAGTTATCTGAAATTGTGACTAGAATAACGGATCAAATCTTCTGAAAATTAGCATCTCTCGGTCTTTTCAGACACTTAATTTCCTTCTTGCTTCAGAAACGATGTTAATGGGGGAGCTGAAGGGGGTCGACACTTTCATTGGCCCAAATTTAATGTGTTTGAAAAGAGATACTCTGACTTTGAATAGCATGATCTTGTGGGCCATTAATAAATGTGGGAATTCAATCGCTTGCATTTTTTTCATACAACTACCCGTTTGACAGAAAATCGTGATCAGAAAAAGGGGAAGTAACGACATCTTATTCGAACAGAATGGGTTAAACGCTCGCATCTTGCATCGGAGGTGATCGTATGTCGGAACGCATTTGAGACTGCTAACGTTTGCCCCGTAGGTATTTTAGTTTCCAGGTCGAACTAAATTTAATTGTTTGTTTTGAGCTTGGCAAGTAGTGTGCTTGCTCGTTACTAAACCTAGAGTCATGGTGTATGGAATTTATACCATAAGTGTTACTTTGCTAGTTTTATTTAGTTTTTTCTGACTTTCCTTTCACACAATGAATCAGAACCAATTCAGTTTGAAATCTGTTTATTTATTATTTAACAAAAGTCTTTTTCTCTGGAAACCAGATCCCTGGACACTATATCCATGGAAACCTAATTGCATCGTAGTTTTATTCTAAATATGAAACAGGATGTTTCTTCGTTTCTTCAACACATGGGTGAGATACCATCCAAATATAAAAAAAGGGGACAATCAAGAAACAAATATAGGCGCCAGATGATTTCAGAATGCCCGGTCGAAAGGGAAATCCTCTGAGTTGAAATCACTAAATTATCCCAAAGGCTAGAAAATAACTCCAAAGACGTTCAGATATATTACGAATCTATATTAAAGATCAAATCATAACATACAGTCTGTCCAAGATAAGGTTGAACAGCATGGAGATCTCGAAAACGGTAGGAGATACGAAGTCGGTTAAATGGGGGAAAAGTTGCGCATTCGGAGGCTCATATCAAGAGCCTCCGAAAATTTTTAATATTATTTTTAGCTTTTTAGTTATATCGAAAAAAGTGAATTTTTGGAATATCTATTTCATTCTTTTTCTCCGTTATTATTAGAGATACTATAACAATCAGTAGCCAGTGAAATCCGCTTTATTACAGAATAAAATCTACATTTGCAATATCAGGATGAAATTATGATTGACATACCAATCAATAAATATATAATGTTTTTTTTATAACAACTGCAACTCTGATTCTACCAATTCTTATTCACAATCAACTTATACAGAGTGCATAACTAACCTTGATATATTACATTTTCTCCCTTCTTGAAATGAACTCAATATAAATAGAATATAATTTCAAAACGATTCATCTCTAAACCGAACAGTTCTCAAAATCTTACGTCTAGGTCTTGGAGTAGAACCCGACAATACCGTTGCTGAATGTTCACCCTCTGTATTTGGAACATTTTTATCAACAGTTGATTCAGACGAATTTTCATACTCATCCATGAATTCATGATGATTGCTTTCTGATGATGTACATGGTGTTGAAATTGGAAAAGTTATTGCAGGACCTTTAGGAGTATCATCCTGCTTTGGTGGGACCAATTTGTTTTCGAAAATCATTTCATTTGATGAATAGTCATGATGTTTCCTTTCTGATATTTTTTTTTATTTGATCTATATGCCTCCTCCATACCTTTCCATCAGATAACTCACAAAGAAAATTCTTTTTACCTAAAACCTCAACTATCACTGCTTCTACCCAATCCTGGTTATTAACTACTCTATAATCTTTAACCATTATATCTCTCCCCTAATTTAAGTTCTTCACGCTCCTTCCTATGTGTATAATCTGATTGTTTCTGAACATTATTTCGTACAATATTAGTCGTAGATGGTTTGATAAAATCAAAAAGAGTTCTTACTTTTCCCCAACATAAGGAAGGAAGGCGATTCATTGGTGGTACAGTGATTCGCATTTCGATAATATAACAAATATCGACAAACCAAAATATTTGTTGATGTG